GGGTAATCAAATGTAAATAAACCAAAATAGATATGTGTCATTGTAACAATAGATTTCAATGCGTTACGGCGGCTCTGGGGGATTAGCTCAAATGGAAGAGCGCGCGCTTTGCATGCGCGAGGTAGCGGGATCGATGCCCGCATCCTCCATATTTTTTTCCCTATTCAATCAATTAAAAACACATTAAATTCTCGAAAATGCGACACAACTTTATTCGTTCAAAATATCAATTTTCTTTTTAACAAGCTCGATGAATGGCGATTCTTCCTATCCTTGTCAGTGTTCGTGTCCTGGAATAATACTCATTCAAGTGTTGATTGTATTGCCGTAACCTCTTTTTGCCGGCCATAATAAAAAAACGGGTTTCCCACGCCGGGAATCGAACCCGGGCCATGGCGGTGAAAACGCCATATCCTAGTGGCTACGCTCTTCCACCTGAGCTATTTCGGCATACAGCTTAAAACGGCTATTCATATTCTTCAGGCGTTTTCGATCATCCACTTAGTTCCCTTGCTGCACACAACAACGGAGCATACTGTGCAATTTCAAAATGTCAGGTTGTTATAAATATGCATACATATATTTAAAAAATTTCTACTCCACTGCAAGTATATAAATTTGACTTAGCGAAGTAAAATATTTTTCTAAATCTTTTCCATGGAACTTTCTTTCGAACCGGATTTGAACCAGTGACCTAGGGATGTTTGTTTACTTACGTACAGTCCCCCGCTCTACCAACTGAGCTATCGAAGGCTGATAACGGCCAGCTTCTTTATTGATCAATCAATATTTGTCATACAATAGTTCATAGAATTTTGATAATATTATTAAAAACTTAGGTATGAATATTATTTTGAAAATTTTTACGAAAAACATTCAACGGAAAGCCACGGTTTTTTGAAGCATGATTTGAGATCCAAAGCAAAATATTTTGGAGGATGCGGGCGTTGATCCCGCTACCTCGGGCATGCTAAGCGGGCGCTCTACCATTTGAGCTAATCCCCCAATTGCTGCCTTTCCTTAAATCTTTTCCAGCAATTGTTAAAAGATAAATCCCTCTTTACGAAATTAAAAATTGAATTTCTAAGTTTCATTCGTGTAGAATGGCACCTAATTTATAGGTGTAATGCCAACATTTTCTTGAACATGCATCGCAAAATGAACTGCTGTAAAACAAAATACGTTGATTCAAAATATGTTTCATACAGCGGATCCGGAGTAAGGTTATTGCCGAAATTGACTACAATATGTGGCGTTGCGCTGGTGGTTCAGTGGTAGAATTCTCGCCTGCCACGCGGGAGACCGTGGTTCGATTCCCCGCTAGCGCATGAAATTCCGCTCGGATGCATTGTCCTAATCATTAACACCCATCCTGTGGTTTCTCTTTTGCGCTTGCTGTGTCGTACCAAAATCTTCAGAAAAAACGGGTATTATTTGAAATAAAACGATATTGTTGCGTAAGGAAAAGCAAGTTCCCATGTGGTCTAGTGGCTAGGATCTGGCGTTTTTACCGCCATGGCCCGGGTTCGATTCCCGGCGTGGGAAACCCGTTTTTAAATATATGGCCGGCAAAAAGGGATTATGGCAATACAACCAACACTTGAATGAGTATTATTCCAGGACACGAACATGCACTGACAAGGTTAGGAAGAATCGCCATTCATCGAGCTTGTTAAAAAGAAAATTGATATTTTGAACGAATAAAGTTGTGTCGCATTTTCGAGAATTTAATGTGTTTTTAATTGATTGAATAGGGAAAAAATATGGAGGATGCGGGCATCGATCCCGCTACCTCGCGCATGCAAAGCGCGCGCTCTTCCATTTGAGCTAATCCCCCAGAGCCGCCGTAACGCATTGAAATCTATTGTTACAATGACACATATCTATTTTGGTTTATTTACATTTGATTACCCAAACAAACTCTTTGCGAAAACCGCAAAATGAAAGCATTATTTTCAATATTTTGCAGACATACCAATTAAGCTAACCGGTAATGTCTTTCAAATTAATTCCTGCCGAAACCCGGGATTGAACCAGGGACCTTCAGATCTTCAGTCTGACGCTCTTCCACCTGAGCTATTTCGGCATACAGCTTAAAACGGCTATTCATATTCTTCAGGCGTTTTCGATCATCCACTTAGTTCCCTTGCTGCACACAACAACGGAGCATACTGTGCAATTTCAAAATGTCAGGTTGTTATAAATATGCATACATATATTTAAAAAATTTCTACTCCACTGCAAGTATATAAATTTGACTTAGCGAAGTAAAATATTTTTCAAAATCTTTTCCATGGAACTTTCTTTCGAACCGGATTTGAACCAGTGACCTAGGGATGTTTGTTTACTTACGTACAGTCCCCCGCTCTACCAACTGAGCTATCGAAGGCTGATAACGGCCAGCTTTTTTATTGATCAATCAATATTTGATAATATTATTAAAAACTTAGGTATGAATATTATTTTTAAAATTTTTACGAAAAACATTCAACGGAAAGCCACGGTTTTTTGAAGCATGATTTGAGATCCAAAGCACAATATTTTGGAGGATGCGGGCGTCGATCCCGCTACCTAGCGCATGCTAAGCGCGCGCTCTACCATTTGAGCTAATCCCCCAATTGCTGCCTTTCCTTAAATCTTTTTTAGCAATTGTTAAAAGATAAATCTTTCTTTACGAAATTAAAAATTGAATTTCTAAGTTTGATTCGTGTAGCATGGCACCTAATTTATAGGTGTAATGCCAACATTTTCTTGAACACCTATACCCACCTTTGCTGACATGTGGGGACACCTACTTCTGGGGACATAGCGTTTAATAGCTAGTACACATTTCATACTTTCGCTGCAGTTTATTTAAGTGTCTTACCTTAGGTTTTTTGCTTAAAATCCTGGTTTAAAACAAGTTTATATCACACAGAATTGTGGGGACATTTTTGTCATCACTTGTGGGGACAGGGTGTGTACCCACTAGTGGGGACAGTTGTGTATTTAGATTTATGGGGACACTTTGTGTGTTCCCATTGCAGCATTGCCTGAGTTTAAAAACTTGTGGGGACAGTTACTTCTTACATGTTCCGATGGTAGAGGTAAGGATGATCCGACATCTTTCAAGCTTTATTCAGGTGATTTTGTATTAAAAAGTTATTGAAGAAGATTTAAGGGAATGTAAGGATGACTTTCGAACGAATATTGAAAAAAAACACTATGTTATTCAATGTACACATATGACACCAACGACACTAATCGGCAAGTAAAATCAAATCTAGTGATTATTAAAGACTAGTGGTGGGCATCTTCATAATTTTATTGATAATTCAACTACAGTCTATTGCTATTTATTTGCTAAATGAATTCAATTTAAAATCTAAAGTACTGATTTTACAAGTCGAAATTCTTTTTCAAAGTTATGTAAATTAAGGTGACATATAAGAAGACATAAGAAATATATAAAAAGCTTTTCATCCACGCATCTTGATCTAAACTATTAATTTATTAAACATTTATTTTTGCAACCATACTCTAAAAAAAAAAATGAAGCACAATCGGTTTACAGCTTGCTTGTCAAGATCAAAAGAGAGTACATGGACTATACATAAACGTTTAGAAACGGCAAATTAGGACAGAAGATAGAGGCAGTAATTTTCGTCTAATTTCGCCGTGTGTAATCCTATAACCGTATCACTACAACTCCAACGTCCAATCCTATATACTTATGTCCCCACAAGTCAAGTGTGCAATCCAATATTAAGGTCCCCACAAGTCCAGTGTGTAATCCTATATATTTATGTTCCCACAAGTCCAATGTGCAATCTTATATATTTATGTTCCTACAAGTCCAGTGTGCAATCCTATACTAGTGTCTCCGCAAGTCCAGTGTGCAATCCTATACTAGTGTCTCCGCAAGTCCAGTGTGCAATCCTATATACTTATGTCCCCACAAGTCCAGTGTGTAATCCTATATACTTATGTTCCCACAAATCCAATGTGCAATCCTATATATTTATGTTCCTACAAGTCCAGTGTGCAATCCTATACTAGTGTCTCCGCAAGTCCAGTGTGCAATCCTATACTAGTGTCTCCGCAAGTCCAGTGTGCAATCCTATATACTTATGTCCCCACAAGTCCAGTGTGCAATCCTATATACTTATGTCCCCACAAGTCCAGTGTGTAATCCTATACTAGTGTCCCCACAAGTCCAGTGTGCAATCCTATATACTTATGTCCCCACAAGTCCAGTGTGCAATCCTATACTAGTGTCCAGTGGCGTAGCCAGCACGGATATACTAGGGGGGAGGCACATATTCATATATTCATGTTAACAGACTGTAAAGACAACTGATTTGAAATGAAATTAATCTTGCGTAACATGAATACATAAATATTCCCCCCCACCTTAATTATCGTTCTGGCTACGCCACTACTAGTGTCCCCACAAGTCCAGTGTGCAATCCTATATACCTATGTCCCCACAAGTCTAGTGTGCAATCCTATACTAGTGTCCCCACAAGTCCAGTGTGCAATCCTATATACTTATGTCCCCACAAGTCCAGTGTGTAATCCTATATACCTATGTCCCCACAAGTCTAGTGTGCAATCCTATACTAGTGTCCCCACAAGTCCAGTGTGCAATCCTATATACTTATGTCCCCACAAGTCCAGTGTGCAATCCTATATACCTATGTCCCCACAAGTCTAGTGTGCAATCCTATACTAGTGTCCCCACAAGTCCAGTGTGCAATCCTATATACTTATGTCCCCACAAGTCCAGTGTGCAATCCTATATACCTATGTCCCCACAAGTCTAGTGTGCAATCCTATACTAGTGTCCCCACAAGTCCAGTGTGCAATCCTATATACTTATGTCCCCACAAGTCCAGTGTGCAATCCTATATACTTATGTCCCCACAAGTCCAGTGTGCAATCCTATATACCTATGTCCCCACAAGTCTAGTGTGCAATCCTATACTAGTGTCTCCACAAGTCCAGTGTGCAATCCTATACTAGTGTCTCCGCAAGTCCATCGTAATCGTGCCATCAAAAGTCCAGTATGTAACCCAATAATCGTATCGCCACCAGTCTAGTGTGCAATTCAACGCATATGTTGTTGTTCCCACAAGCTACACAGGTTTGTATTTTGTAATACAATATTAGTGTTCCCAAAAGTCTAATGTGTTACTCTATGTTACTCTATACTCATATCCCTAAACTAATGATATCGCAACAAGTCCAGTATGTAATATTTATCATTTATAGACCTGGAGTGAGGGGAATTCGACGAAATATTACCCCCAAGGGAAGATATATCCCGAGGGCTTCGCCCGAGGGATATATCTTCCCGGGGGGGTAATATTTCGTCGAATTCCCCGAGCGGAAGGTCTATAAATTATATATTATATCGAAACAACGTGTAGGCAGCGCAAAAGCTGGGTGAAATGGCTTCTTTTGCCTCCATTTTGAAATTGTTGACAACCTCGAGTCGTGTGCGAGGCATCCACGCGTGGTACACGCAAACTCAAATACCTCGCTGCAGCGGGGTATTCGAAGTCGAATACCGCGCTGCAGCGGGAACCCCGCTGCATAAAAGTCGAATACCCCCCTGCAGCGGGGTATTCGACTTTTATAGCATAATGTAAAAATATTCGATGGAACTCCATGATTAATTTACTGATCACGTGGTACAAATCGAGCTTTCTGATTGGATGATTTACAGTTGAGATATAATATTATCCTATATACTAATGAACCTGTCCCCAGAAGTTCAGTAATCTAAAAATTCGTGTCCCCACAAGTCTAGTGAATAATTGCTCGTGTTTCTGCAAGTCTATAGTCTCTAAGATGTAATGTATGATTATATGCTAACATGACAAATATACGCCGATTGCAACGAGAAAGTTGTATCGTTTATCTAGGAGTAACTTCAATTATTTCAATAAAAAATGCATTGAACCTTGTTAGTAATATCAAACATCTCTTCATTCTAAGAATTTATTCATCCGACAAAAGAATGGTTATATCATATAGTTCTATTATAAATATATTGTTCGCCTAAACTCAACATTCAATGCAATTGAAGTTATTGGACAAAGGAAAAATACTGCCCAAAGCATTGCACAAAGGAAAAATATTTTAATAACAAACAAAAAAAGGGTATATTTTATCTAGTATACAAATAACCTTTTTTAAGTACAAATAACGAAAGTCATACACTGCCAGTAAACTGCGTGTTGGAAAATATATTTACAAAATAATGTAGAATGTAACATGTATAAGAATGTAGTACAAAATTTTCGACAATATTTGGATGCTCTGGCACCACAGGTATTTGGTTTCGTGAGATTTAGTTCTACTGATATTCATTGCAAAATTAAAGGACTATATTAGTAAAAACATTTCTACTGACTTTGGGATCGAATTTAAATTTTTCTGAAAAAGAATAAGTCCGGCAGTATGTACATTTTGTATTTTCCGTGCAAATTGCGGTAGTCGACGTGATAACAGTGCTTCAAAGATAGCTAAAACCAGAATGCCGGATTTACAAAATAACCATGTAGTGACTTTTAAAGTAATTCTAAAGGCAAAGCCATTTTAAGTTATTACAAATCCTTATTATTGCCAGTGCGCAACTAGCTATGGAACTTTGTAAAAAATCATTACACTTATTGCTATGTTTGTTCATTAACAATTGACTAGATTAATTTCAAACCAAAATTGTACGCAGGAAGTAATTATCGAATTATCGAAATTATCGAAATTATCGAAATTATCGAATTACATTAATTTTGATATTTAAGATAACTAAAGCATGCAGTTCGTCATGATTAATTAAAGTGGCATTGACATGTTTCATCCAATTACGAAAATTGCAGCAACTCCCAGAAATCGGTTGGAGAGCGCTAAGATAATGTTATTTACATATATCTGCATGATTGTTTTGATCTCTTCGATTTGACGTGGCAGGACATGCAAATTAATGAATGACACTCTTAAAAGTTACGCGATCACAAAAGTTATAGGAATTGAAGTAACGGCTCAAACTACATTCTTATACACATTACCTCAGATACATCGCTATCTAGCTTTAACAAACACTTGGTGAAAGTGTTCCTTCCTAGACATGTTCGTTTACATACTAAAATTGGGCAAAAGTGCCCCACCCTTGTCACAAAAGGGTTCAAATTTTGTGTGCACCTAGCTGTCAATATTCCTCCCAATCTTGACAAATTTGGCTTTTACTATTTCGGCAATTGACAATTTTGCATGCTTTGTAGCGAGATGAGAATCTCCATCAGAAATTCAAGACATTAATTACCATAATGCCAGGATTTCGTAATCAAAGATACCTGCCTCGTTATAAAAGAGTTATATAGGGCACGAGATAAAATTTGAAATTAAAGCAATTTTTATCTTACATATTGCAGTTAGCTCCAGCAATATGATGGTTAGCAAGTTGCTAAAATGACATTACTGAGGAATCTGTTAAAGGTAAGATGCCGTGCCTTATATAATTCTATTATAACAAGGGAACCATCTTTGATTGCGAAATCCTGGCATTGTGGTAATTAATGTCTTGAATTTCTGCTGATGCTGTCACAAGGGAATCTATTTAGTATCCCATATTACTTGTATGGTATTGAATAAAAGCAGAACCGCGGAATGTCATCTTGTAGGCGGCTGTGCGTTGTTATAAAATAACAGACGAACGTTTTAGGGAATTGATTCTAGACCTGCTTCAAATTTTAATTCATAATGTTTAATCGATTATCCTAACATTCGATTGATTGTCACGATAACCTCATGATTTGATAATTAAACAATTTTGTGCCAATTGGTTGTTTGCAATGACGTAAGGCAAGAAATCATTAAAACGTGCAATTCAAGGTGTAAAAGGTGGTGACTAAACACAGATCATTACTTTAGCTTGTGACTTAACTTTTTGTGTTTTTTCTCTTCGTTATCTGATTTTTTATCCAATACTTCACACTTTTCCAATCGCGATCTTTCAGGACGTCCTTTCCTTTTAGGATACAGTCACAACTTTCTTTCTTATTCGGCACCTTTCCTTGTCGAATAAGATGGCCCAAGTGATCTAATACACACTTCTTTTCCTCCTTTGACCACGTTAGATGTACTTGTTTACCTAAATCAAACATAATAATGAAATCTGATCCATGCATAGTGTCTTTAAAATTTTATTTTAGCGTTAATGCTGAGTTCTCAATGTTCGTACAAGGTAAAGAACATCTCTTAACTTGAAGGTGTTTTTGAAAGTCTGTATGTGAATTTTTTTTGCTTTTAGTCGATAATTTGTATAAAAATTTTGAAAATATACTCTCAAAATATTTGTAGTGGATTAAGGAAAGATTAGTGGAAAAGTGAGATCGGATAATTTAATAGTCAAGTACAAGTATTATTACATTCAAACCAAATTTTAAAAATAATTAATTTCTTTTCTTATAGTTTGGTATAGAATTTATATCATCAGATGCATTCACATTTGGATTGATCTTATTTTCTACTCTATAAATCCCAAGAGAAATGATGGTGTTTGGTTAACAAAAATTATTTCAATTACAACTAGATGATTTACCCAGAGTCGACTTTATCGGGAAAATACTTGAACCTGTCCCGGAAGTTTAAGACCTGGGCACAATATTAGCTTCCTTCTTTAACCGTATAGTCAAACCCTGGAAAAGTGTGTGCAAGGATGTTGATCCTAACACTTTCTCTAGTCCCATTACTTTTACAGCCTTTCTTAAATGTACCTATTCTCGTCTTCTTCAGACAGTCTATGATGATGTTTTGTCCTGTACGTGGTCCTTGGTACGCGACTGTCCTTGTCACAGGATTCAGTTTGTTTTTTTTGTTTGTTTTTTTTTGTATATTTCTAGATGTATGTTCTATTTGTTTTCTTCCATGTCTTGAATTTAATAACTTTTAATATACAGTGTGTGCAAGTAATTTGTAACATCTATGTACAAAAAATCTAAATTTTTGGGAGGTGCCTTGCATGGGTCCTTTTTCAAGTGTCCCGTTCCTACCTTGCCTTTTTGGATCTTCCATGTTTATACTTTCGTATGTAACTTGTATAATTGAATCATTATGTCATATGTAGAGTATTTTGATCTAAATAAAACTTGTAAAACAATACTCGACTACAAATTGAAATATCAAGAGCACGTGAAGTATCTATCATCATCATGTATATCCAAACTGGGCCAGATTAGCCGAGTAAAGCACTTGTTTGACCAATCAACACTAATCACCATCGTAAATTCTCTAACTATGAGCAAAATAAGCCGGCTATTGCTCATCGATATGGGCTAACCACTGAGTCTAACCTGTCGTCTAACACTTCGAAAGTTGACATTCAGAAAATCCAGCTAACTCAGAATTGTACGGCCACACTTAATTATCTCAGGAAAATCTAAATATGACCATGCTTCTCCGTTACTCAAAGATCTGGCTTTGCTACCAATAAAAGAATATAAATAATCAAGCACCCTCATATTTATGTGAGAACTTTCCAAAAAGAAATCAAATTAATGAACGCACCACCCGAAATCAAAATAAACTTAATTGACATTCCAAAGTATGGGGCTGCGACAGGACAGAAAACATTTAAATATAGAGGAACGAGTATTAGGAACTCATCAGATGACGAATTAACCTCAATTCACAATCTAAATCATTTTGAATATAACAGGTCTTTTGGAAGGCAACATACGATTATAACATATAATTGGCATGATAGAACAAATTGTTTTTAGAGCTGTAAAGTGTTTATGTGCAAATGTAAATAGTTTTCGGAATAGGCGATGTAAATAGTTTCTATGATTTGAATAAATGATGTGAGTAGTCACTTATAGTAGTTTAGTTAATTATTCTTCTTTGTGAATTGTTATCTAAATTAAAACCCCGATCTGGAAATAGCATTGGATTTTGTTTTAATTATAATAATATTATAATAATAATAACCCAATCATTGGATAACCAAACAATGTTGTGCAAATTGGTTGTTTGCAATGACGTAATGGGAGGAATTTATTAACGCGCAAATAACAAAAACTGGATATTGTAGTAAATGTCCAGACATAACTTGTCTCTTTAGTTGACCCTGTTTAATTTAATGTTCCTAATCACTAAATTGTGCATTATAAGAGCATTTATACCCTTCTGTATTGAAAGTATAGGATAAAAAATATTAATAAAATTAATAAGGTGGCTTACCTTTAGATTTTGCTGCTGAACCACTGCTTACTTTTGAACCATGTGCCTTGTAAGATTGTCCTATAATAGGAGAACATATACTTCATATCCATTGAATAGGGAACCATTGGTGAACAAAGAACTCCTCAAATTTCAGTAATAATTTTTTGGCATTGTTCTTTGTTGTTTGAATGCGAGTTATAGCGTCAAAAGCCACCATGCAGTAAATGTTTTAAACGTTATAATAACGGGTATGCCACACTGATACTATGGTCACATTGATTGTAAATTATAGTAGAATTATAGTGACGTGAAGAGTTATTTAGAGAGCAAGGTGAATGAGGCAATTAACATGAATTACCTAAGCTTTTTTATGTGGTGTAAATGCAGTCTGTGAAGTCAACAAACGCTTTGAGCCTTTTATTACATTTCGAATTTGCTATATATCTTCAAAGATCATATCATTTTTTTTTTCGATATACTAAAATTATGAGATAGTATAGAAATCGCTGGCTTGTTGGCTGTTTTAGAAATCCTTGGCTTGTGTGACAGGGAACATTTGCATTTTAAAATTAATAAATTATCCTCAACAACTATGATCAGTGTCCAGTGACATGCCAATTTGGCACACTATCAAAGCGCTCATGCATTATTTAAACCGAAAATCATATATTTCTGGACAGTGCTGTAGTTTTAAGATCGTCTCAAAATCTTGCATTTTTAAGCTGCCTAGACTGGTTAAACGCAATTGATTGAGAAGATCTGGAATACACATTATTACATCATATCTCTCGCTACGCTTGATGAGTTCGGGAAACATCCAGCCCAGGGGCGGATCTAGGGTAAGTCCACTTAGTCCTGTCAGTCGCGCGGTCGGCGTTAGATCATATCGAACTAACGTACCATTACGTCTTAACATTGCGATACGGAAGCATGATACGGGAAATAATTAGAATTTGATTTTGGCACGGAATTTTAATTTATTGCGTGAATCGTAATTCGTAAAATACAAATAACGTGAGATGAAAATGGCAGAAGTTTGTTACGGTTTAGGAATATTCTATTAATTTCTATTTATTATTACTCAATATAACTATATTTAACTTATTATTTCCCGCGGTGTAGCGTAGATTAAGTGTTTCGTTATATAGGAACAGAAACATACATGTTATACACGATAATTTCATTTCAAAAGAGTTTGTTGACAATATGCGGGCAACAATTTTTCACTTGTTTCTCTGGCGGGAAACATTGCATTTATTTAAAGTCATGTGACTGCGAATGAACTAATCACATTTAAAATACACAGCACCTTTATAACAACATGGAATTATTTTCATTTATACCTTTTGTTCACAAAATAATATGTTAATTTTTTTATGAAATAAGAAAGAAATTGGTTTCAGTGATTTCAAGATCTATAATTTCTCAAGGTGAAATGATTTTCCAATAAATATAGGCATAATAAAATATAATGTACATCTAACATCATATATTTATCTTTCATAATCGTCCTATGCTCAGTATAATTATTACGGTTATGAAACTAGTCCCGTCGTAAAATGCACTAAAATGGAAAAAGGCTTCATATTCAGCACTCGTTGGAGTCATTGGAATAAGTGTATGTAACTCGTTGGAATGTAATTTGCATTATATGGAAGTGTGCGATGCATCTTATAATATTCGCGTCTATTTATAGCATATTATGTTTGTTATGATTTGCATGGTTTTAAAGGGTTTTGTAAAGTTCTTGTACGCTAAATGTATCTTACTCGATGCAATCGAAATATTTCTGCTTATTTTATTTGAGGATATTGTTTAATTTGTGAAAAATCAACTATTGCTATTATAATGGGGGGAGTACGAAGTTGTGTGTTTTGAAATATGACCCTCGCTAGTCACTAACTCTGTTAATAAATCCACGAGGCATCTATAATACGCTGTTTTTTATTAAAATAGCGGAAAAATTGTGATGAACCCTAAAATTACCCGAAATAATCAAAACTCCGATCTGCCAATTTGAAAAATTTTCTTAAAATTTCTGAATCTGGACTTATGTTTGAAAAATTCTAGATCCGCGCCTGGTCTAGCCTCCCTCCGTACATGCCTTCCTGCAATATGTTCATTTTAAAATTGTCCGAGTGGTAGTTACGAGGAGACCTTGGCGTCTCAGGAGTGCCTCAAGATGTTTGGTTGGCCATTAGATCTCTCGCGAGCTCTATAAATTGTTGGTTTTACAGAGGTTCTTTCCGCGCCCGTTTACGGATTTTATTGCCATTTTTTGCGTTGCTATAAACATCGTAAGGTCTCAACTAAACCCGACCAGTTGTTGTTTGGCCTTATACAATGTTATATACAATATTTAGCTGTGAAATGAAAAAAGCCATCCGTTAATGTTATGTTAATCATTGTGGAAAAGTAATTCGCCATATTTAATGCAATGTTGTTCATATAAAACAATCGATTAACCTTACCGGGTAGCCACTCATCGTCAGCCTTGTCAAGAAACCTTGGTTTCTTTGATTTGGATGCTGAATAAGTTGGGATAAGAATACGTTGAATTGAGCCCCTCTGACCCTGTCATCTCTCTAGCAATCTCAATATAATATACTCACCACCAGTCTTTGCAGCTGACCCCCTGTGGTGTAGCGTCGCAGAAGTTTGTGGTTTTTCAGCATGTACAGTATACAGAAAATAATATAACATCTTAAATTAGTCTATATACAGGGTGTATGAAAGAGGGCAACCATTTATATTCATGAATATCCATTTTTATAACACAAAAGACAAGGCTGATAAGCCATTTTATATGAATTTTAGAGGGTATATATAGGCTACTCCAGTGAACTCTATATAAATGGAAGGCTCGCTCTAGTACATTACGTAATCTAAAAGCGAAGCCAAACATGGCGGATCATGAATGCTGCTTGGTTACCGAACTAAAATTTGATATGGCGACGTATAGGAGTGCAACTCGATCAGTTTTGTAAACACAAAACAAATATACGGCACAAGTAACATATGTGTATATATATATAATATATATATATATATATATATATATAATATATATATATATATATATATATATATAATTTTTTTTTTCATTTTTCGTGATAAGTTTATAATTCGTGCCTTTTAACGCCATTAATTTCCGCGCGCGGTTCGCGCGGTTCGCGCGGTTCGCGCATTTACGCCTCGTGGTGGTCTGGTTTGGTACCCAAGCAGCCTTCATGATCCGCCATGTTTGGCTTCACACTTTGAACTGGAGCGAGCCTCCCATATATAGAGAGTTCACTGGGTTATCCGGTTACCTTCGTCACTATTAGTTTCCTCGCAATCCCCTTTCTCATCTTCACTCAGTTCTGGCTCGGATATATCTACAGAATTAACAGTAATATAGCATTGATTTATGCCGTTCGAAGAATTGCAAATCGCAAAATTAGATTTACTTTTCTGATTAAAAAATACTTATACTAAAAAGTTGCGGCTTTTTTTAAAATCCACCCCTATCTTTTTGTTAACATGTTTAAAGTTCCATTTTTCTTAGTAGTTTCATGAAATGAAAAATACGGCAAGGTTATAGTGGTGAAATTTTGTTCCTAATTAAAGACGGAAAAAGGAACTGAAAAGGCTACCCCACTGTAAAAGCCTCGCTCTTTTGAATAAATTCCGTAGAATATTGATAAATAGATGGGGGGTAATTTTATCTTGTAACAAGAAACTCGCTTTCAAAAAATCAATCTAAATCATGCTAGATTTTGATAAATTGTACAGTGCCTTAAGACTTTTTGATAAAGTACTGAGATGAGTGTTATTCTTAAAGGTAATATGGTTTAATTATAGGAATGACTTTGTGTGCATTCCGTCGTAATAAGTCACCTTCGAGTGTTATTTCCTCCAGAGATTTGCCTTTCAATGAACAGGCCTTTCCACTATCGACAGCTAGCAGAAGTTTGCTGATTTTCGCAATCTCAATCGTTGATTCATGAAGCCGATAATACTCTCGATGAGTACGGATGTCGTGCCCGAGGTGCTTTGCTAGCCAATCTAGTTCCTTTTCTTCAAGAGAAAGAACCTGCGTGATGGTCGCGATGTATTTTCGCAGTTTTGTACTGGTTATGGCGTCGGGATTCTTTAACTTGGGCTGACATTCCGTAGCACAGTACCTCAGGCAGTCCCATCCTCTTAGTGGTTCCAAGGAATCTCTGTTTACCCGAGCAAAGACATACCCATTCTCCTCGTTTATTCCAACTTTAGATCGCAATGAGTTGAGAAGGTTTATCCCTTTTGTGATATCTGGCGTCAAAATGATGGGAACTTTGCGACCTCGTTTCCCTCTTGTTTCAACCATATTGAGGCTGTAGTGATAAAAATATGTAAATATATATAAGATTTTGTAAATGTTGTTCATTGGACGACTTGCAGTTTAGACTAATTTTTTATCCAAATAATAATAAGAAAATTAATCACCGCAGCTAGATAGAAAGGGCGTACTTAACTAAGTGCAAACGCAAAGTTTGGCTGCGAATAGTTGTAAAATTCGGAAATATTAGCCATGCGAAGTTTTTATATTTTGTATACTTTTGTATTACGTGCGCAAATAAGTAACTAATTTTATTTCAAACTTCCAGCCGTAATACAAAATATACAAAAATCGACAACTTTGCAACTCCGTAGTTAATTCACAACAAATCGAAGCCAAACTTGGCAGTTTTACTAATTTTAGTAAGTTATTTCGGAAAATCTTCTTTTTATCGCTGAAAATTTTGGTAAGATATGCACATCGCACGACTAAAAAAATGTCCTTTTTAACGTCACAAAATATATTTAATCCAAAAAAGACCGTTAAGATGAAGTATACATTTATCTTGTTGTTCACAGTCTGCTTATGCGCTCGGAAATTACACCAACTTTCATTAAATTGCGTTCACTTACCGTTTTGAAAGTCGTTGCTCCAACGGACTTAAGGAAGCAAGAATCTCGGAAGTGGCATTTTTTGTCCATTCTGGTATGCTATTAAACGACCTCATTAAAAGTCTGGACGCTTCGCCACCCCTGCGCTTATTTAACATCACTACCCTCGCCAAGAGCAGCCTCGCAAGTGCGTTCCAGTTGTTAGGTGTAGGGGATTCCTTGAGTTGGCTGGATGTCTCTGTAATCTCTTTGTCGACAAATTGTCTTAACATGGCCATATCCTCTGCCAAGGGAAGGACTTGTACTGAATTCATCTTGCGATCTTTTAATGTGGAGAGGGAGTGATGTGAGATCTTATATTCCCATTCTGATCTCATTAGTTTCTGGAAATCTTTTATTTCTTTTGCCATTTCTTCATTTCTCGCACGAATCGCCTGATTATGCAAAAGTGTAGCACATTTTGAAAGGGAATGTCCGAGCTTGAGGGCCAATGAAGGAATGCTGACGTCTAGTAGCCCATGATCAGGATCCTTAAAGCCGGCCGTCTCCTTAACAGCTCTTATAACAACGTCGAATTTCTCAGGTCTTATGAAGTCGGACAACTGAGCCTTCTCATTCTTTTCCACAATCTTTAGGCGCTGTAAGAGACGACCCATTTCCCTCATTTTTTGCGAAACTAACTGGCGATCTCTTTCGCCATCTTTCTCCAACAGGAAAGCCCCGAGTGCCTTAATCAATTCATCTTTCTTAACAATTTCCGCGATTTCTCCGCGATTCATCGAGCACAAGATCCTGCTGAGAGCTGCATTATCAGTCCCAGTGATGATAGGAGCAATCAACATTTTAGCAGATTGCTGAACATGCTTGTATTGGCCCGATGATTCTGTTTTGTGTGGGCATGATGTCTGATGTTTCCATAAATCCCACCTACGGAAAAACCCCAAACAAAACTCGCAGGGTAAAAAGTCCTCAACGCGGTACTTCCCGTCTTCCCCAGGTCTTCGCACTATTATTAGCTCTCCTTCACCCGTCTCCAAGGTATTCATATTGTGGTGATAATCACCCTGGAGACGAAGCTTGTCTAATATTGTTCTTCGTTCCGATGATTTCTTCTTATGTGCTAAGGCAGACATCACTTCTTCTTCCATCTTGTGTTTTGTTACAAGATGTCTTGCAATCTTCGCACATAGCTGGCCGCAGTAGGTACACGCGTGCTTTCTATCATACACTCGGGCGTTACTTTCCGTTTTTTTCGTGACCTTTATATGTGCTGCAAAGAAATGAAAAGCATATTATAATAATTACCTATAGTAAACAAACCACTTATTCATACATTCTCTCTCCCAGACGGTTTTTTTGTAGACCAACGCTTCTAAAAAATTTTTTTAGGGCGGATTAATGTCCGAATATACTTCCCCCCTCAATTATCGCGCTAGTCGCTTGGTGGTACGTATAACATGCACTTTCTGATAGGTCGTCTTTGCGCATTCAGCTTTTCGAATTCGTCCTTTTTGGCTCGAAAGCACTGTTCAGTCACACTGCATGCCCAATAAGTATAACCTCTTTAGCGTCGACGTGTATTTATTTTCCGGAGATAGTCAGTACTCAGCACCTTTAAAGCCGGTTTTCCACTAGCGAAATTTTAGCGCGAAGCGACATTTTACTTTTGTTCCAGAGCTTTCAACTGCAACCATCTGGAACAAATTGCCCAAATACAAAAGAATAAAGTCGCTTCACGCGAAATATATCGCTGGTGGAAAACCGGCTTAAGTTTGACGGTCGGTAGCACCATTATCAGATAGTTATTGAAAACCGTGGATAACGAAGGACAAATGCCTATCTCAGTCAGTTGTAAAGGTGCCCCAAGGCAGCCATCTTACTGGAAAGTATTAATTACTTGCATGCTATTCGTCATTTTACCAATATGTCATTGCTTTTTATGCCTTCTGCCCAGGGACAGACCTATGCCCTGGCATTCGCGGAGATGAAAATTCATTTGACAATAAATTGATTAATTTATATAAAAAATCCACAGGCGGCCATCAGGCCAGCAAGTGTGATGTAGTGTACATTTTTCAATTTTGAGAAAATGATTACACGAAAGCAAGTTAATACCAGAAGGTGTTTTACGTATTCTATGTAAATACGGAAGTACTAGTAGCCTGGCTCGAGAAAGTTTTGCACTTTAAAAAATTAAGGAAATTAGGTACTTCGGTGTCTGTTGTTTAACTAGTAACTTTTGTCTTTTATGTGAACAAAAATTTAGCCGATTATATTAGAATTAATTATTAGTTTGGCTATACGGTCTGTGTCAATTTGCAATAAAACTTGGGTACAGAATTTATTGTTGGCAATATTGGTCTTTGCTATTAATCGACTTGAGTAAGGACAAAACTTCGAATGCAGAAATAAAATTTGGCTAATAAATTTTGGCTCTTTCTCGACTAATTAATAACTAATTAGTTATAACTAAGGTAAGTTTAAAACATTGTGACATTAAACATTAAACATACTACACATTATGATAACATTTAAAGTAATTAATAATTAAATAACATTAATTTTGTTAAAATTTAAATAAAATTTTAATTACAAATAAAATTATATGCTGAATCGTGTGCGTGAAATATGGATGAGGTATTCTCTATACTCCTGGATCATATCAACTAATTATTAATTACCACACTATCAGTACAAAATGGGTCATTTTAGTTCATTTTTTAATGGCTCACTGAGTTTGACAAAAATTAACATTGACGATGCGAAAATTTTTGGATGGTAATCATCGGAGATGTAGACAGATTCATGATGGGTGGAGTATTAAATACCCCTTTGAACGTATTCTGTTTAAAAACTTACTACACGGGCAATGTGACATTAATTTGCTTCTGGAAGACTGGAACCCTATTTAATAAGGGCCCGCCTGAAGTGTGTATATAGAATTAGGTCAAGATGTCGAATGGCGGCCTCAGTTACTTGTAAAACTATACTTTTAACTTTTTCTGTGGAGGATAAAGTATATTATCTATACTCTTATTATAACGTCAGAGCCACAAACTTGCATGGAGCACTGTTTGCCGACCTCTAGATGGATAGAACAGCTGTTTTGCAACAAACTTATAAAATTGCTCACATTCATACGAACATTTCGATTTGTTTTTTGATAAATGAAGTGCAATATAGTGCATATATATAGAAATTTTGTTAAAGATATTGTCTTTGGTATTCCTGTAATAATTTTTTCTCTACGATCCGGATTTTTTCTGCGGTCACTTTATTAAAAAATATGATCAGTGTTATAAGACATTTAGTTTAAACATACGAAGCGTATAATGCACAGTAAGTTGTATGGCGGAACGTAGAAACACCCAAGGCCAAGGTATGCAGTCGATTATCAAAACGTTACGAAGCGGCTGTATTGGTCCAGAGGTCTGCAAAAAGTGGGCAACATCCAGGGCAACGGCAATTATATATAGGTGTTTTACTTTTGCTATATGTATTTTATAGTAAAAGTTAAGGCTGTTTTGAGTTTCCACTTCAACCGTATCGTAGCGAAACGTGGCGTATCTCATTGTTTCAAAGTCACCAGTTCTGGTCGAATACTTCCCTACGTTTCGCTACGATACGGTTGAAGTGGAAAACAGGCCTTAAAAGACATTATTGTTGAAATTTACAAAATTAGTTTATTTGCAAATCACCATGTTGCAAATTTCTGATAATTATCAAAAACCAGCAGACCGTAATTTGTATACAGGAGCTATACAGGGTGTATAAAAAACACTGCAACCCACTTAATATTCAAACATGTTTGCTTCTATTCAATATAAGATCGTAGGCCCGTGGGAATTACTAAGGCTTGCGTTTTTTATGCACCCTGTAAGTGGAATTTTGAAATACGTTTTCACCATTACGTTTTCAGGGGGTTTTTATGCGTAAAGGTATGTTTAAGTATAATAACAAAGCTCGACGCGATTCCCCTCAAATAGCATTTATGAGACAGGCGATAAGAGAAGTGAGAGAACCTTAGTTATCGAGGCTTAGTTATCAGTGCAATCTTATAAAACCTGGATGAATCGCACGAGAGTGACAAAAGACAGTCAGATCGTTACAGATAATGCTTGCTAAAAAATCTAGTGTTGGGCACCAATTACTGAAATTTTCATTAAGTAAGAATTAACCACTATAAAGTCGTTATTACTTTATAAAATGATTTACCTTGTTTGCTTGCGTTTTCCACGTTTGAACCAACTGAACTTTCATTTTTATCCTACCAAAAAAGGTCTTTTAGGAATTTTCTAGCATTTTTTATCTCTCCAACAATATTTAAGCAAATCATATAATACGGTGATTATATTTATCACCACGCGTATATGTTAAATATAATCCTAAAATTCATTGTCACACCATTTTGAGCGTCAGCTCGTGTTATAGTCAAACTATTCTAACGGTTCAGAAACATTCCTTAAGGCCGTTTTTCACTTCAACCGTAGCGTAATAGCGTATTTCTTTGTTTCCGAATGTATTTCTTAACGTAGCGTATTTCTTTGTTCGCGTCGAATGCAATTCGAGCAATAGATAATAAGATGATAATAACTTTAGTTTAAAGCAGTTTATCATCTCATTATCTATTGTTTGAGTTTTATTCGACGCGACGAAAATGCGACGTCTAACCGTGGTGTAACCTAGACCTACGTTTCGCTACGATACGGTTGACGTGGAAAACGGCCTTTAATCCCACCACAATCCTAATTTACAAGTTGCCATGAAAATCACTCATACAGCACTTGATGGTTTATTTACCGTTTTATGGACGTCGTCGTCAGAGTAGACTTCGTCGCCAGAATAGATGTCGTCTACAGTTAACCTCTTTCTCTGAATATGAAAAGTATATACATAATAATATTATTATAATGGTATATATCTTAATTATACAGGGTGTCCCAAAAAAAACGAAAAGTATTGAAATCACCCATAACAATGCAATTATTAGAGTTTGAATGCCTAAGCACTCTGTTGGGACCCACAGGTGTATAAATGTTTACCATACTCATTTTTATGCATGCATATGATGCAGTAAAATTTGCTTGTTCGCAAAAATGATATTTACTAACAATATTTACAATTCACAAATATGGATAACATTATTTAAATGTGCATCTCAAGGAGAATGACTTTCGACATGTCCCCTTTCTCTAGCAACACAAAGCATTTAGCATTTTATAAGTTGCATTAAATCCCCACGGGCTGAAATTCGTGAACACGGCATTCAAATTTTAACAATGAGTGATTTCAATCGTTTTCGTTTTTTTTGGGACACCCTGTAGAAGAAGCTCTCTGTATTTTAGACCATTATTATGTACCTTAAGTTTATCGAAAATATATTTAAATGGACTAATTATGACTCAATAAAGCTATACCAGCTATACAGGGTGTCCCAAAAAACCCGAAAACTATTGAAATCACCCATAACAATACAATTATTAGAGTTTGAATGCCTAAGCACTCTGTTGGGACCCACAGGTGTATAAATGTTTACCATACTCATTTTTATGCATGCATATCATGCAGTAAAATTTGCTTGTTCGCAAAAATGATATCTATTCACAATATTTACAATTTACAAATATGGATAACAATATTTAAAGCCTAGCGCACACTGGTGCACTTAGCACGCACACACGTCACTCGTGACGATTGTCACCTGCACATATTCCTCGTCTGCGGGGACCAAATTCAGATATTCTGTCATTCGTGTCGTAATATCCAATTATCAAACATGTTTGATATTTTCTATCACGCGTGACAAATGCGCCAAGTGTGCGCTGAACAAATGCGATTAAAACATGCAGCAAGGAATATGTAAATGTGAAATATACAATAAACAAACTAAACATGGAGTATGAAAGTGACGATTATTTGTCTCAAGAGGAAAAAATTTTGCTTTTCCTTTTCCTTTTGCTTATGCGTCGGCGGCTCGGCGCCGGAGACGCCTAAGGGTGGCCAATCTCAAAATATGGACGAAACGATGTATGGACGAAATGCTTTTTCTCGTAAATCTCTGTTTTTGAAATCTCGCGAGCGTACATTGTAAATACACGGATATTCGGGCCATATGTCTACCAGTTTGTCTTCTAAAATGGCTTCTGCAACAAGTTCACTGCGTTTTTCCTCCATACTTTTAAGGTTATTTATTGTATTTCTCATTTACATATTCCTTGCTGCATGTTTTAATCGAATTTGCTCAGCGCAAACTTGGCGCATTTGTCACGCGTGATAGAAAATATCAAACATGTTTGATAATTGGATATTACGACACGAATGACAGAATATCTGAATTTTGTCCCCGCAGACGAGGAATATGTGCAGGTGACAATCGTCACGAGTGACGTGTGTGCGTGCTAAGTGCACCAGTGTGCGCTAGGCTTAAATGTGCATATCTCAAGGACCATGACCTTCGACATGTCCCCTTTCTCTAGCAACATAAAGCATTTAGCATTTTATAAGTTGCATTAAATCCCCACGTAAACACGGCATTCAAATTTTAACAATGAGTGATTTCAATAGTTTTCGGTTTTTTTGAGACACCCTGTCGTTTGTTAGGCCTAGACTATACGTCGCATTTTAGTCGCGTCGAATGCAATTCGCACAATAGATAATGAGATGATAAACCTTATTAAGGTTCATTTATTTAACATCTATTTATCTATTGTTCGAGTTGCGTTCGATTAAAATTGACTTTAACGTCTCTAAAGACCTGTTACTCAAGTATATGCATGCGAAGATATGCATTTTTACTCACTTGTTTTGCCCAAATTATCTCACTTCCCGTGCGTTCGTTTAATTCATCGCCGGACAAATGGTCATAGTCAGAAAATGTATTCTCCTAAACATATGTTAATCATGAAAATTAACACCTTCATGGCTTTACACAGTTACAACAGGGTGTATGGAAAAACCAGCAATACTTAATACTTAAAATATAAATCTCAATAACAAGTCGTAGGCCTCTGGGAATTATTAGGGTTGAATTATTTTTTTACACCCTGTATACGAGGTGTATAAAAGAGAAGACCTTTAGAAAGTGAACTATTGTTATAATTTCAATGCCATCACTATATGCTGAGCCGAACAGTTATAATTCGTGTTGTTACACAGGTGCTGTGTATTTGAAATGTGATTAGTTCATTCGTAATCACACGACTTTAAATAAATGCAACGTTTCCCGCCAGAGAAACAAGTGAAAAATTGTTGCCCGCGTATTGTCAACAAACTCTTTTGAAATGAAATTATCGTGTAACATGTATGTTTTTTTCCTATATAACAAAACACTTAATGTACGCTACACCTCGGAAAATAGTGAGTTTTGTTTTCCCTCGAGTCTCAATGTTTCAGACTCTTTGGAAAACAAAACTCACTATTTCACTCGGGAGCACACACTAAGTGTATATTTTCGCACCTGTGGGCTTCGAATATTGTTCAGGCATTTAAATTATAACAATAGTTTAATTTCTAAATTTGCTGTATACAGGTTGTATAAAAAACCCTGCAATATTAAAAAAACTGCATATTCATACATGTTCGCTTCTATTCAAGAACAAAAGATCGTAGGACCATGGAGTTATTAAGGTTGCGTTTTTTTTATACAGCCTGTGTGTTAAATCTAATGCGCATTCAGCTAATAGCAAACATGCAGTCTTACATGTACAAACAGTTTTCGTTTTCTGTTTCGACTTTCTGGCTGTTTGCTGAATCTATCAGATACATCTACGACAAAAAGTGAAGAATGTGGGGTAAGTGTTTACGTTAAGGAAGGTGCTTGTTCCTTGTGCGGGGGCTCTTGGAACAATTGATACCCATCAGTCACCTCAACTGATTATTTCACCAATTGGGGGTATAGTCAGAATAAAATCGCAATTGCATTGGCCATTGGTTGATTAAAATCGCAGTTATACATTCGAAATATTCTTTTGAAATCCATAACCAATAGCGTTGTTATTAAAATGTTTTGAATTTAAAATTAAACTGTGTAATTTATTTTAACTAGTGACTACCCCCATATCCGCCACTAAAATGAAATATACTCATAGAACATAAAAGTGCCCTCACCTGAATTTGGCATGACCAGTTTGTTGATTGGCCATGCACAGAAACTCCCTTCTTCAACTTCGCCCGACACTGTGGGGTAATCATCCCAGCATTTAACGTTTTCGCAATGTAATTTCCTAATTTCTACGTATACCCAACCGTCTGTTATTTTGTAACCATGTACAATGGTTTTATTGGGCATCACTATACCACGTCCGACGACTTTGCCATCTTTTCTTAATTGAACTGTAAAAATAATGCAATAGATCTTATCCACAAGGATGTCAAACGCTTTAGTGTGCCCATAAAGACCAGAATTTCCTGCAGGAATTGTTGAATCAAACATTGCAAATTTTTGTTGGAATTGTACATGGTCTTTGTGTTGACGCCCTCGTTATATTAAATCAATCTATCTATCTTATACGTTCCTGACAATTCACTCGGAATTAAAACTGAAATAATTAATTTATTAAAACTGAAATAGTTAATTTCGCGTGGCTAAATACCTTCATCTTTTAGATTTCTTTCTTCAATTGGTAAAGGCACATCCTTAAAAAAAGGAGAACTTTGGATTACATAATTTCATATAACACGCATGCCTATTTCATTGCTGTGATAACTTTAGCATGTATATATAGGGGTGGTAATACATAGTGAAAAAGTTAGTCTGACAATTTGGTTATGCTATATCTAAAAACTTGACTATTCTGTCATGCTATAGTTGTGAATAATATAGTATTATTGATAGTATTAAAATTGCATTCACGGTTTGTTTAGTTTCTCGCTATCAAGAATAATTGATTCATTTTCGTATAATTTGATTTCTTGGAAGTGTAGGAGTAGTTATACATAATTCGTTTTACTGAGCAAATCTTGAAGAAGCACCTTTCTACATTGAGCACAAACCGATTCCTACGACTAGCCGAACATCCTGCAATGGATTTAATTACCTGCCTATAGCCAATTCACAACTGTACGCACCCCATAACTATTCGTACTAAGTATATAATTTATATCCGTGTTCGCGAAATTACCTTCAAGGAATACAGTCTGCAGGGCGATCGATCGCGGTTTAAGTTTTTTAATCTATTATTAGTAATCTATATATATGTTATATAATTGTGTTCTCATTGAGTCGTCTAAGCGTGAGGCCTTACTATTTCATCCTCTTCACTGGAATAGACGTCGTCCACTTTTAACGTTTTTTTCTAAATAGGAAACATTAAGGATAATATGAAGGTAACGTATATTTACCCAAATATACATGTAATGACTGTAAGAAAACATTGTGATTGTGTCCATTTCTATGCTTACATGTTGGCCTTTTGTGTCAGCTCCACTCAACAATGACCACTCAATCTCTGAAGAGCTTGATGAATCTTTTAAATAAATAATTTTGGGATTCAGTTTTTTAATATTTTACACAACCTATAATAAACATTTCTACTCCTTCAGAGACCGTTTTGAAAGGTTAGACTTAAAAAACGTTTAAGCCGCTTTTTGAAATGCACTGTTTAAAAATATTTATCACCGTATGTATTGTCGTCAGAAGATAAATTGTATCCCTGGAGCTCTTGCAATTTTGCTGAACAAAAAGAAAAATTTTCTAAATTAATTTGATCTATCTTAATAGACGTAAAAGGGGTTTAGGATTTTAACAAATGTCGAAAGTATTTTTAATAGCTCATTCTAACCCTTTAGTTCTTTTATTTTGTCATTCATCAATATCTTCTATTGCTTTTGTGTAATCGGGTGGTTTCTTTATTATTGATTTCTTCTTTAAAAATACAAAATGTGTTTTAATACATCTTTCTAATACAATATACTTTGCATGAGCGGATATTTAAATGCAAATTGGAGTCATATAGAACATTATAGCCCACGTATAAACTACACTCAATTTATTGGCAGTGCACGGCTAAAATGGAGAAATACAAAGGTCGGGCACGGATGAAATGGGCACGGGAACCCATTTTAGCGTTGCCGTGCCAATAAATTGAGTGTATAGTTTAAAACGGGTATACAATACGCAGTTTAATGCCTGTGGCTGTGTTTCCATAGCAGACATGCATATATGATATACACCCCGAGAGAAAAACAGTCAAATTCATTCGGATCATGCATGTATATTCAGAAATGTATGATAATAGGTGTCTTCTCATATAATATACTACTGGAACTCTCCTATATTTAAGAGAAATACCGTCTACTATAGTCGTAGACTTTAAGATAGAAAGTTAGGTTTTAAAGTGATGCCGGTTTTGATTCTATTTTGTTGTTCTATTTTAGGGTTTATGTTCTTCTGCCAAATATTTAAATGGTTCAACATATCTCACATGCACAATTTCATAGGCGTACTAGACAAAGGGGCAAAAGGGCACTTGCCTCCACCTAAATTTCAAGAATCATGAAATCGGGCAAAGTTCAGCCGAAAACAATTAGGGACCAGTCACAGTAAAAATAATTAACGATATGTTCCTAGGAGGTAAATCAAGAACTATCGTAAGCTATCATCATCGTCTTTTCCATGGGTCCTTTTGGGATAAAATTGGTTTCGTGCTAGCAGCACATGAAGAAATGTCACAGGCGAAATTCGCCAAAGTGTTTCCAGTATTAGAAAATTAGATACCAGAAGTGGAAGCATTACGGTAATTTCCGTTTCAGGTTTAAACTTTAAAGTTTCAAATTTCAATGTTGTACTGTAAGTTGTTGTTTTTTTAACATTATTTTGTCAAATATCTTCAAGAATTTAATTTTATGGAAGAATGTAAGCATGGTACATCTTCAGGGAAAGGTTTGAACGTTTCGGGGTTGGTTTTACTAATGAAAATGGATGTGATAATAACAGATTCTGTTGGATTTAAAACTGTAACTATACAGTTAATACGTTTTCAAAAAGAACGTTTTCATATATACGTTTTTTATAGCTTTTTTATGAAACATTCAATGGTTAAAAAAGACACTTTTTTCTCATATAGCAGAGAATTCTAGACTCGATCCTTTTCCGGCTAATAATGACTGCACTTCCATGCTATATACAATTTTTACTAGTCGCGGCTCACAAATTTAGGCTTCAGAGTGATTATTTAATTCTTCGTTGATATTTTACTTCAGGTACGAAATGGCTTTCCATAGAAAAAGGAATGTATAACCTTCTATAAAGGTGTTTTGTTAGTCATTGTAAAGTTTCCTATACCATGCAATTTCTAGTTTGAAACAGGGCACATACTCCTAATCAAAGCTAGAGCCTGTACTATATTATAATTCTAATGCAAAGGTCGTGGAACACTAAGACGCTCACTTTAATGCCTGTGTTTTAATTGCCTGCACTTTCATATAATACACGATTTTTGTTACTCAATAAGCTATAAATTATTAAGTAAATACCTTCTACACTTGGCAGAGTATCCTCTTCGCTTCCCGCATTTTGTCTCTCATCCCCATTTTGCTCATCAATCACTTTAGAATACAAAATTAGGTTTTAGATTTAATGTTTCACAATAATATGCTATATGTTAATCGATGTTCTATTTTAAGGTATTTTTTAATTCATTGTCTGCAAAAGATTTAAGAAAATGCGTGTTGCTGTGGAAGGAATCTACCCAATTTTTAGGCAAGTTGCTTGCAATGTCTGCATGAGGACTAAAACGAATAATGTCAACCAAGCATTTCAGCAATGATTTTATTCTATATTTCAATTGATGTTTTCATTTTAGGAATTTTGTTATGTTCGTCTGCATGCAAAACATTCAATGAATTGCGTGATGCAATGAAATTCACGTCTAAAATTTTGAGGTCAGTTGCTTGAAATATCTTATAACTAAAGGGAATAATCTTTATTCGTTCGAACTCTTCATCCCAGAAGCTTTTTTATGAAACATTCAATGGGTAAAAAAGACACTTTTTTCTCATATAGCAGAGAATTCTAGACTTGTTCCTTTTCCGGCTAATAATGACTGCACTTCCATGTTATATACAATTTTTATTGGTCGCGGCTCACAAAATTAGGCTTGACAGTGATTATATAATTCTTCGTTGATATTTTACTTCAGGTACGTACGAAATGGCTTTCCATAGAAAAAGGAATGTTTAACCTTGTATAAAGGTGTTTTGTTAGTCATTGTAAAGTTTCCTATACCATTCAATTTCAAGTTTGAATCAGGGCACCTACTCCTATAATCAAAGCTAGAGCCTGCACTATATTATAATTCTAATGCAAAGGTCGTGGAACACTATGACGCGCACTTTAATGCATGTGTTTAATTGACTGCACTTTCATATAATACACGATTTTTGTTACTCAATAAGCTATAAATTATTAAGTAAATACCTTCTACACTTGGCAGAGTATCCTCTTCGCTTCCCGCATTTTGTCTCTCATCCCCATTTTGCTCATCAATCACTTTAGAGTACAAAATTAGGTTTTAGAATTAATGTTTCACAATAATATGCTATATGATAATCGATGTTCTCTTTTAAAGTATATTTTAATTCATTGTCTGCAAAAGATTTAAGAAAATGCGTGATGCTGTTGAACGAATCTGCACAATTTTTGGGCAAGTTGCTTGCGATGTCTGAGGACTAAAACGAATAATGTTAACCCATGCATTTCAGCAATGATTTTATTCTATATTTCAATTGATGTTTTCATTTTAGGAATTTTGTTATGTTCGTCTGCATGCAAAACATTCAATGAATTGCGTGATGCAATGACATTCACGTATAAAATTTTGAGGTCAGTTGCTTGAAATATCTTATAACTAAAGGGAATAATCTTTATTCGTTCGAACTCTTCATCCCAGAAGCTTTTTTATGAAACATTCAATGGTTAAAAAATACACTTTTTTCTCATATAGCAGAGAATTCTAGACTTGTTCTTTTTCCGGCTAATAATGACTGCACTTCCATGTTATATACAATTTTTATTTGGCGCGGCTCACAAAATTAGGCTTGACAGTGATTATATAATTCTTCGTTGATATTTTACTTCAGGTACGAAATGGCTTTCCATAGAAAAAGGAATGTATAATCTTGTATAAACGTGTTTTGTTAGTCATTGTAAAGTTTCCTATACCATTCAATTTCAAGTTTGAATCAGGGCACCTACTCCTATAATCAAAGCTAGAGCCTGCACTATATTATAATTCTAATGCAAAGGTCGTGGAACACTATGACGCGCACTTTAATGCATGTGTTTTAATTGACTTCACTTTCATATAATACACGATTTTTGTTACTCAATAAGCTGTAAATTTTTAAATAAATACCTTCTACACTTGGCAGAGTATCCTCTTCGCTTCCCGCATTTTGTCTCTCATCCCCATTTTGCTCATCAATCACTTTAGAATACAAAATTAGGTTTTAGATTTAATGTCACACAATATATGCTATATGATAATCGATGTTCTATTTTGAGGTATATTTTAATTATTTGTCTGCAAAAGATTTAAGAAAATGTGTGATGCTGTGGAGCAAATGTACACAATTTTTGGGCAAGTTGCTTGCAATGTCTGAATACTAAAACGAATAATGTTAATCCATGCATTTCAGTAATTATTTTATTCTATATTTCAATTGATGTTTTCATGTTAGGAATTTTGTTATGTTCGTCTGCATGCAAAACATTCAATGAATTGCGTGATGCAATGACATTCACGTATAAAATTTTGAGGTCAGTTGCTTGAAATATCCTATAACTTAAGGGAATAATCTTTATTCGTTCGAACACTTCATCCCAGAAGCTTTTTTATGAAACATTCAATGGTTAAAAAAGACACTTTTTTTTCATATAGCAGAGAATTCTAGACTTGTTCCTTTTCCGGCTAATAATGACTGCACTTCCATGTTATATACAATTTTTATTAGTCGCAGCTAACAAAATTAGGCTTGACAGTGATTATATAATTCTTCGTTGATATTTTACTTCAGGTACGAAATTGCTTTCCATAGAAAAAGGAATGTATAACCTTGTATAAAGGTGTTTTGTTAGTCATTGTAAAGTTTCCTATACCATTCAATTTCAAGTTTGAATCAGGGCACCTACTCCTATAATCAAAGCTAGAGCCTGCACTATATTATAATTCTAATGTAAAGGTCGTGGAACACTATGACGCGCACTTTAATGCATGTGTTTAATTGACTGCACTTTCATATAATACACGATTTTTGTTACTCAATAAGCTATAAATTATTAAGTAAATACTTTCTACACTTGGCAGAGTATCCTCTTCGCTTCCCGCATTTTGTCTCTCATCCCCATTTTGCTCATCAATCACTTTAGAATACAAAATTAGGTTTTAGATTTAATGTTTCACAATAATATGCTATATGATAATCGATGTTCGATTTTAAAGTATATTTTAATTCATTGTCTGCAAAAGATTTAAGAAAATGCGTGATGCTGTTGAACGAATCTGCACAATTTTTGGGCAAGTTGCTTGCGATGTCTGAGGACTAAAACGAATAATGTTAACCCATGCATTTCAGCAATGATTTTATTCTATATTTCAATTGATGTTTTCATTTTAGAAATTTTGTTATGTTCGTCTTCATGCAAAACATTCAATGAATTGCGTGATGCAATGACATTCACGTATAAAATTTTGAGGTCAGTTGCTTGAAATATCTTATAACTAAAGGGAATAATCTTTATTCGCTCGAACTCTACATCCCAGAAGCTTTTTTATGAAACATTCAATGGTTAAAAAAGACACTTTTTTCTCATATAGCAGAGAATTCTAGACTCGATCCTTTTCCGCCTATTAATGACTGCACTTCCATGTTATATACAATTTTTACTAGTCGCGGCTCACAAAATTAGGCTTCAGAGTGATTATTTAATTCTTCGTTGATATTTTACTTCAGGTACGTACGAAATGGCTTTCCATAGAAAAAAGAATGTTTAACCTTGGATAAAGGTGTTTTGTTAGTCATTGTAAAGTTTTCTATACTATGCAATTTCTAGTTTGAATCAGGGCACATACTCCTATAATTAAAGCTAGAGCCTGCCCTATATTATAATTCTAATGCAAAGGTCGTGGAACACTAAGACGCGCACTTTAATGCCTGTGTTTTAATTGACTGCACTTTCATATAATACACGATTTTTGTTACTCAATAAGCTATAAATTATTAAGTAAATACCTTCTACACTTGGCAGAGTATCCTCTTCGCTTCCCGCATTTTGTCTCTCATCCCCATTTTGCTCATCAATCACTTTAGAATACAAAATTAGGTTTTAGATTTAATTTTTCACAATAATATGCTATATGTTAATCGATGTTCTATTTGAAGGTATTTTTTAATTCATTGTCTGCAAAAGATTTCAGAAAATGCGTGATGCTGTGGAACGAATCTATACACAATTTTTGGGCAAGTTGCTTGCAATGTCTGAGGACTAAAACGAATAATGTTAGCCCATGCATTTCAGTAATGATTTTATTCTATATTTCAATTGATGTTTTCATTTTAAGAATTTTGTTATGTTCGTCTGCATGCAAAACATTCAATGAATTGCGTGATGCAATGACATTCACGTCTAAAATTTTGAGGTCAGTTGCTTGAAATATCTTATTACTAAAGGGAATAATCTTTATTCGTTCGAACTCTTCATCCCAGAATCTTTTTTATGAAACATTCAATGGTTAAAAAAGACACTTTTTTCTCATATAGCAGAGAATTCTAGTCTCGATCCTTTTCCGGCTAATAATGACTGCACTTCCATGTTATATACAATTTTTATTAGTCGCGGCTCACAAAATTAGGCTTCAGAGTGATTATTTAATTCTTCGTTGATACTTTACTTAAGGTAGGAAATGGCTTTCCATAGAAAAAGGAATGTATAACCTTGAATAAAGGTGTTTTGTTAGTCATTGTAAAGTTTCCTATACTATGCAATTTCTAGTTTGAATCAGGGCACCTACTTCTATAATCAAAGCTGGAGCCTGCACTATATTATAATTCTAATGCAAAGGTCGTTGAACACTAAGATGCGCACTTTAATGCCTGTGTTTTAATTGACTGCACTTTCATATAATACACGATTTTTGTTTTTCAAGAAGCTATAAATTTTTAAGTAAATACCTTCTACACTTGGCAGGGTATCCTCTTCGCTTCCCGCATTTTGTCTCTCATCCCCATTTTGCTCATCAATCACTTTAGAATACAAAATTAGGTTTTAGATTTAATGTTTCACAATAATATGCTATATGTTAATCGATGTTTTATTTGAAGGTATTTTTTAATTCATTGTCTGCAAAAGATTTAAGAAAATGCGTGTTGCTGTGGAAGGAATCTACACAATTTTTAGGCAAGTTGCTTGCAATGTCTGCATGAGGACTAAAACGAATAATGTTAACCAAGCATTTCAGCAATGATTTTATTCTATATTTCAATTGATGTTTTCATTTTAGGAATTTTGTTATGTTCGTCTGCATGCAAAACATTCAATGAATTGCGTGATGCAATGAAATTCACGTCTAAAATTTTAAGGTCAGTTGCTTGAAATATCTTATAACTAAAGGGAATAATCTTTATTCGTTCGAACTCTTCATCCCAGAAGCTTTTTTATGAAACATTCAATGGGTAAAAAAGACACTTTTTTCTCATATAGCAGAGAATTCTAGAACTTGTTCCTTTTCCGGCTAATAATGATTGCACTTCCATGTTATATACAATTTTTATTGGTCGCGGCTCACAAAATTAGGCTTGACAGTGATTATATAATTCTTCGTTGATATTTTACTTCAGGTACGTACGAAATGGCTTTCCATAGAAAAAGGAATGTTTAACCTTGTATAAAGGTGTTTTGTTAGTCATTGTAAAGTTTCCTATACCATTCAATTTCAAGTTTGAATCAGGGCACCTACTTCTATAATCAAAGCTGGAGCCTGCACTATATTATAATTCTAATGCAAAGGTCGTTGAACACTAAGATGCGCACTTTAATGCCTGTGTTTTAATTGACTGCACTTTCATATAATACACGATTTTTGTTACTCAAGAAGCTATAAATTTTTAAGTAAATACCTTCTACACTTGGCAGGGTATCCTCTTCGCTTCCCGCATTTTGTCTCTCATCCCCATTTTGCTCATCAATCACTTTAGAATACAAAATTAGGTTTTAGATTTAATGTTTCACAATAATATGCTATATGATAATCGATGTTCTATTTTAAAGTATATTTTAATTCATTGTCTGCAAAAGATTTAAGAAAATGCGTGATGCTGTTGAACGAATCTACACAATTTTTGGGCAAGTTGCTTGCAATGTCTGAGGAATGAAACGAATAATGTTAACCCATGCATTTCAGTAATGATTTTCTTCTATATTTCAATTGATGTTTTCATTTTAGGAATTTGGTTATGTTTGTCTGCATGCAAAACATTCAATGAATTGCGTGATGCAATGACATTCACGTATAAAATTTTGAGGTCAGTTGCTTGAAATATCTTATAACTAAAGGGAATAATCCTTATTCGTTCGAACTCTTCATCCCAGAAGCTTTTTTATGAAACATTCAATGGTTAAAAAAGACGCTTTTTTTTCATATAGCAGAGAATTCTAGACTCGATCCTTTTCCGCCTAATAATGGCTGCACTTCCATGTTATATACAATTTTTATTAGTCGCGGCTCACAAATTTAGGCTTCAGAGTGATTATTTAATTCTTCGTTGATATTTTACTTCAGGTACGTACGAAATGGCTTTCCATAGAAAAAAGAATGTTTAGCCTTGTATAAAGGTGTTTTGTTAGTCATTGTAAAGTTTCCTATACGATGCAATTTCTAGTCTGAATCAGGGCACCTACTCCTATAATCAAAGCTAGAGCCTGCCCTATATTATAATTCTAATGTAAAGGTCGTTGAACACTAAGACGCGCACTTTAATGCCTGTGTTTTAATTGACTGCACTTTCATATAATACACGATTTTTGTTACTCAATAAGCTATAAATTATTAAGTAAATACCTTCTACACTTGGCAGAGTATCCTCTTCGCTTCCCGCATTTTGTCTCTCATCCCCATTTTGCTCATCAATCACTTTAGAATACAAAATTAGGTTTTAGATTTAATTTTTCATAATATATGCTATATGTTAATCGATGTTCTATTTTAAGCTATTTTTAAATTAATTGTCTGCAAAAGATTTAAGAAAATGCGTGATGCTGTGGATCGCTTCAAGAAACAATATTACAGCGGTTTTTATATAGTGTTTTATTTTTATGTTCCTATATGCAGACAATTTATTAATTTTTGGGGATTTCGGGATGATTGTTTTTTTTTGTTTTTATCGCGTCAAAATTGAACTTCAGTGAAAAGTTTTTAGAAAGTTATTGTGCTAGTGGAAAGTTATTATGGACAATTCTATACGCAATTTAGTGCTTGTGTTTGCCTGCAGATCTAATTCCTTTGCGGGAAAGAAACTCTTTCTTTTCTGGGTAAATTGGCAATGCATATTATTTGCCTTTCTCGATAGACAGTATATTAATTAAATTGTCGTCTAATCCCGTCCAGTGGTATCTCTAGTCCATTGTTTACCTTTTCCCAGACCTGATGAAGTTGCGTTCCTTGCCAATACTTTTTCTGACCATATTTCTAAATAGTATATACATTGGATGAACACTGATGGCAATCAACCTCAAATTACTGGTGGCATGCATAAATTGAATAGAAAAATTGAATTTCGCCCCTGGAACGGTACCATATACAAAAAAGGTGAAAGGAATTTGGTACTATTGAAATCTTGAAACACAAAGAATAAACCTGATTTGGCAGGGCGGAAACGTTTTTTTCGTAAAAAAATTGAAGTTGCCTTCCATGTGATTTTGGTATTGCCATTTGTTTGTTAATTTTGCAATGTGAATGAACATTGCTGGGAATTGTTGCGTGGAAGCCGAGAGCAATAAGCTGGCTTCGATGTTAATTTAAGGCCGCGCGTTCCACTTGTTATTATGTCGTCATAATACAATCTAATAATAAAAACAGGGGTTCGTTGCGCTGGCGATTCCGTGGGAAAGACAATGTCATTCGTGCAGCGCGTAAAAACCAAAAACGGAAGTTTGGAGAGAGCGGTACAACATTTGTTCCCAATGGAGTTAAGTTGTGACACACCAAAGAAAACCAAAACCCTTAATCCGGAAGTAGCGGAATTCAATCCACGTCCCAAACGTGATGCAGCAGTGGCGGCAAAGCTACGAACGAAACAAGTGGCAGAAGCGGATGAAGAATCACTTGATTAAGAACAAACTTTCGATTAAAAGGCATTGCATGAGAAATATATATACATCTCTTACAGAATGTATATAGGGGAGTGTGTCGAATATTTTTGGAATAAATTAATATTATTAGTTAATTGTGAGCGTGCGGACACGTGACCATGTTCAATGGGCCGGGTTGATGTGATAGAATGTCAACGTGCAAAAAACAAACAAGAAATAATCGAGACGCTGGCGAGCGAGAAATAGGGAACGTTTTGTATTACAGTTTGTTGACATTAAAGATTGAAATATATTTGTTGAGTGACTTTTTTTCGCAGAACCTCTTTGGAGGCGGGTAATTTGCGAAACGTGGCACCTCAAGCGACGAAACCTGCAGATAATAAAAAATTCAGCTCCCTGCGCAAAATCCCGCCTGTTATAAAACAGACGTCCGAACGATATATTCTGCGTGGAAAATGAGTGTTTACAAGTGTTTTGTTCCAGTGGAAAATGTCGCTACGCGCACAAAAATCTGTCTAATATTACTATTATTTTTATTTTCTTTGAGTATCAATCATGAATGGCCAGTCGAACAGTATTTTCGCTTTATACATGTAAATTCATGTCAGGGCGCTTTTATGTACACCCCCAGCGAGCAAACATGTGTTTGAAAACCTGCTATTGCTATCAGTTAAACAAGTTTAGTTTCACTCGGCCTCAAAACGCTCGCAGTAATCCCTATACATTACAGGTAACCTAGTTGCACGTCGTATACTAAACTTTTTAAATTTACTGAGGCTTAGCAAATATGCAACCTTCCAGCTAACTCCTGGAATATAAAGGAGGGATAATCGTAATTATTTTCCAAAGTAAGGGTTCTCGAAGATCCGGTTGTAAATTTACCCATGCAGCAGTCAAGAAGTTTATGAGGTTTAATTTAATTCCACGTGTGTCACCGACGGCTGGTTACTTCTTCCAGGGGAGTTTTCGCTATTTGCAAGCGCAAAATTTGTACCTGGGCAAAAATGCGTGCTTTTTGCCCAATCCTTTCCTTTATACGCATCAAGTCATAATTATAATAATGAGAGAAACATGCATTCTTACTTTCATCCAGCTCTTTTTTCAATTTTCCAAAATAATTTCGCGGCTTTCTTTTGCAGAGTTCTGAAAGCAAAAATGTTCTATACAGTTAACGGGCGATGACTATGAGTCACGTACGGACGATAGCTCTCCATGGTGATTTTCCATGTGAAGTGCTTTGCCAATGGACCTTATGCGTTATAGTTAATAGAAATATTTTCTATTTTTCTATAACTAGAATTAATTTTACATCTGCGCAACCAGAGAAGAATTGATTTAATTCTCTTCTGGTTGCGCCGATTCACTCTTTACACACGAACATAAGCATAATGTGGTCTCAGAAATGCTCTGCTGCCCTGCATAATTTAAAAATTCTGCAAAATTCTATGCTAGGGAACTACACTATAGACAATCCAGAAGATAAGAGATTGTCTTCTGGATTTCTATGTTTACACAATATATACATGCTATACGGAAACTGATATGAAACACTACACATGTGCAGCTTTAAAACATTTATTCCTTATAATATTTATTGGTTAATTATAGTTAATTAACTATAATGATTATGCGGAATAAATGTTTTAAATTGCGTAGTGCCACCTTAAAAGGACGCGCAGCATAAAATGTTAAATGTTTGAAACACCGGAAAAACGTAACAATCTGAATAATTAGTAACAGAAAGGCATTGCGCAGGAGGCACATGCTTAGTTTTAGCGTGTCTGGGTCACATTGTACAGTTCTGTTTGCATCAGATGGCGTATGCAAGGCGCAGATACAACTCATACAAGTTTAGCACGCTAGAAAGACGTAGCTACAAAGGTAAAAACCGTCCATTTCTTTATAATGTTACTGCCAAATGAACTTTTTTGTGTGAAAAATGTTTCTCTAAATTTATATAGATTTATATAATGTAGGATTTATATAGCAATAGCCTTTTTTGAAATAAAACCTAATTTTATTGTTCGTCGAAAAGACATGTACAAAAGCCTTAACCTTGACGAACTAGTAGTTAAGACCTGGTTCAATTGTAAGAAGAACTGCTAGAATGGAAATTATGGTATATATTGCATATTGTGGAATTTTCAAATTAAATCCACCTGTGAGGTGCATTAAAATTACTAATAGTACATTTTTGGTATTGCCTAAACAGTACTTTAATTACTACGATTTCTTAGTAATCTCAGTAAAGTATCTTTTACTGCATAATTTGGGAAATTTTAATCATTAAGTTCCCTAATGTTTTGAGCAGAACCAATTATGCACAAAGGCCTCCCTAACCCTCTTTATATAATTCAGCCATGAACTTTCATTCTTGTCTGTGCTTATAGTCTTTGGATTTATTATTGACCTCTGGAAATTTAGGATGTATATATGGCTATTGAACTGGTGCAATCAACTAAACTACCTTTTATTTGGCGCCATGGAAGATCCTTCAAGCCATAGTCATATCGTAGCTCTTCATGTTTGTTGATATCTCTCTTTGCATGAAGAACCAAGTGGGGCTGGTTGTTGACTACAACTTTCCTCATATAGCAATTTGCCATTTTAGATTCTATGTCATTCACCATTCTCCCAAAGCCATCCGAAAATGTTGCATCAACGCTTATGAAAATATTTACAAAATAAAGGTATGTTGAGATATCTAAAATTATTTATACCATGTTTAAGAGTGCCATGCATTCATACCATTTTTGTCTACTAACCAAAAAGAATCGCAAAAAAACAAAAAACTTCCAAGTTTTTTTTCATATTCTTTTTCCCTTCTCTGTCCTTCTTTTTTGGTGACTAATTCCCCCTTGTACTCAAGGAGGAATTCTCCTTTCTGGAATGCCCTCTTTGTGAAGATACCATAACCTTCATATTAAGAAAGGTTTTTGCTGATAAAATCATGCTAGCTGGCTATAGGCAGGTAAAATGCTTGTGCACTTAGATTGGTAATTTTATACTATGATTCATGGCAAGGAAAGAAAGGCAAAGCTCAAAGTAGGTGCACATGAAGTTGAACTAACCCCAAAAAGCAGGAAAATGAGTTTAAAAACTAAGTTGCTAGTCAAGTTGCTAGTAATAATAATAGGGCAAGTTGGACATGTATAAACTGGTTGCCCTCAACAAAAATAATAATAATCCATCAAATAATTGTTCCATCCAAAAAGGGGCAGTAAAATATATGACATGCCCAATTAGGCAAGCTGTGGTTCTTGTTAAGTCACAGGCAAATGTATAGGTGTTAAGTTATACCATATTTGAAGTTTTAAAATCCAACTTTTTGGGTTGTGGCATGCATGCTTGCACCTTTGCTGTGTGGCAACATAATGATTAGTCCTATAACTTTAATGATAAGTTATCCTACAGGCCTGCCTTGCATCCTGAAGTCCTAATATATTAATATAAAAAGTTATATACCAATGTTGTTGTTAATAAATCTTTGTTCCAGATCTTCACTGTCATTTGGTAGCGAATTTGGTTTTCTTTGTTCCTAGAAATCGAGAGCCTTGCAACATGATCAATATATTTACAAGAGAAATAAACAATGATCGACTCCAAGGTAATCAATCATTGTGAAATATATCTTTTATATTTGGCTGTATAATATTGCATATACCCATTATTGGACAAGGTTTTACTGATAGCATGGAAAATTGGTGGTCTTTTTTTACAATCTCATAGTAATTTGATTTATCTGAATTATCTGTCTGAAAAGTTGGGCTTAATTAAAAGAAGAATTCAATTATAGTGGGGCAAAATAAATTTGCAAATATCATAATTATATTGATTTCCGATGTTTAATCAAATGTTTGATTCTTGGGTATGAAGTACATTATAGTTAATTATTTGTGTCTTTAATCAAGGCAATCAATGTAATTCAATGTGTTTTAAACCTGGTTTAAACATAAGAAACCTAATGCTCCCATTTATTCATTGGGCACCAGCTGATATTTCAATTGGTAGACATCAACCTTAGAATTGAAATAGCTGTGTCATATTGATATATTACAGGCTAATGTTAATGCTTAATTTGAAGCGAGTATGTCTATTGGACACATATGTACCAGCTATAGAAAGTATCAAGATATAGCTAAATTTAATTATTTCTGATTTTCACACATATACAGAGAACCCTTTATAAATCGATCTACAGCAGTTGAGTTAATACAACTTAGATTTGAGAATGAAAAACTACACTAGCTATGCTATACTATGCATCATTTGATTAAATCTATATATGCACTTAATTGTATTGTAAGAATATCTCAATAAAAAGTAAACATGTATTTGGAAATGTCAGGGCCGATTGTGGTTCACAGCCCTGAGGAATACATATAAGTATTGTTGCTTTTTGCAGCTGTTTATAAACACCTCACATTAATAACTGATTTTACTTAGAATACTTATCATTATGACTATTTAATAAAGTAAATCTGCGAGCCTGAGAAGTTGCAGTATGTATTAGTTTAGAGATACTGAACCAAACCTTTTCAGGCTATAATGTTCAAATAAGAATCCATCATATCTAGGTAATGAATGGTGAATTACAGGAATAGGGGCACCATCTCCTTGCAATTAATTGATGTTTTTTAATTGACATGTATTTTTTCCTTAGCAAAATCACTACAGATTGGGATATGTTCATAACACTGAATTATGAGTATAAAGGTGCAAAAGTGATATAATACGGTAAATATCACATGATGTAGGAATTAAAATAAAAACATGGGTATAGTTGATAGCAGGGATATAGTAAACACCCATTTGCTGGTTATATTTTGTCATTTTTTTAAACTTTTTCTTATTGTGGTTCTTCATGATGATTTATTATGCATCACTTGAATGTTGATGCAAATGTTGATCGACTGTTTCACCATAATCATACCATACTTTAGTTTATAATCAAAACTCAATATAATAGCATGTAATTAGGCTAGTGCATTTGAAATATTTACACATATGCACATTGTAAACCAATATGTGTCTGTGCTTTTGCAAGAAAAATGCACCAGGCTGTCTATGTAAAGCAAAAATCTTCACATATGCGTTGATAGATTTCAAAATTAGATCGTAGCTTAATAATTTTTCACTGTGCACAATGAAATTTTCAAATTTCGGACTGGATTTCTTAAGCCTTAATTGATCTTATATTGCCCCTGATTGTATTAACAAGTCTTCAATCGCAGTCAAATTTACCGAAATAATTTGATTACAAGATAGTAGGGCTTGCATTATTTGATAATTGTTTAGAATCCATTCAACCCCTTAAATATCGGTGATTAGCTATCACTACTGACTTCAAGCATCCACATCAGCTGCAAGTTCAACATGTTGTATTTTAGTTTAGCGTTGCGCCGTAATTTTTTGTTTAGTACATTCTGCAAATACTCGTGAAATATTTCAAAATCTTGCAGATAATATAAGTAAAAATTGTATACCATATACAAAACCATTGTATAACTGAAAAATTTTAGACAAATAAAACGATCCCGGTGTTTGAATAAACACGTTTCGTTTAGTATATTGCACCTTCATTTTGACCTTGGGTGCAAATCGTCGTACGCGGCAAGGAGCAAGGTCATTCGATCGTGAAGGGCAAATAGGTCCGTCCGAATGTATGAAAAGCCGAAATGAAAATCGTAACTCTGCCATCCGTGTCTTATTCTATTCATTTTCCAACTTTATTGTTCTTTTGAATAATGGCACAAACCTGATAGACCATTTGTAAGGACATTTTATTATTTGCGCTAAACGCGCACATTTAATATACACCTGGTCATGGATGCAAAGACACTGTATTACTCTGACTTTGTTGTTTCAGTATTAACTACTACTTGATTTGGTTATCCAAAAATTGCGGAAAAGAAATCCAAATAAATGTTCTAAATATATTATTGCATAGTTACACACACTTTTCTTTCTTCATGTACATGTAAAAACGGCTAAATACAGTACGACGAATTGTGAACTGCTAACTTACCTTTATACGACGACTTTTTCTTGTTTCTTTTTGGTCGGCCATTTTGGTCAAGGCCCTTCTGAAGCCTTAAAATGTTCAATTCCTGAACATAAAGATAACATAAAAATATAAAAAACTAAGACGAAATTCGTTGATCTAATAACTCCATTTAACATTTTCAAAGGTTGTTGTAGTGCAGTACCAGGATTTTGGTAACAACGTACTGTTCCGCGAGCACCATGCCAGCAAGATATACACCGTAATTTTTCACCTTTGAGTTTGACCAAAGTGAGCGAAATATTCGTACGTTAATAAAATATATGTACGTTATACACTCTTTTGGGAAGACATGGTTAATTAACAAACCAGTTGTGAAAGATAGAACTTACTTTCTCAGGAAAACTTGCTTGGCCTTCGCTTTGGTTTTTGTCTTTGAAGTGCTTTGAAGTGCTCCTCGTTTGAAACGACGAACAGAAAACAGTTAAAAAAAAAACTGTACATAGTATACGCTGTTAGAACTTGTACCAGGCGTGTTTAATCACACAAAACAAACGCAGCATATATATGGAGTGCTGTTTCGATAAAGTTTTTTTTCAGAAAATTTTCTTGTTGATTCAACTTCCAGTGTTGCTTGAACAGCACAGATATCAGTCGAATGCCCCAAGCTAGAAAGCATGCAAGAATTCAGTCGATGCAAAGGTTGCTTGATACATGGTTTTTGCTTGTTCTGTTGCGTGATTGGCGGTTAATCGCGCTATATTGTATATAAGGATTTTGATTGACTCTTTTCGATTACACGTCATCACTGATTTCGCTTGCTATTCTAATAGTCCCTTTTGATAATTGTAGCTATTCCACATTCATTGGTAAAAATTAAAAATAATCATTAAAAATCTCTAAAACCCATCTCATTTAAGGTGGTTCTGAATTGAAAATGTAATTTTGTAACGTAATTCTCGAAAGGACGTATGTTTTTAAAGAATATTCAAGTTGACTAAGCGAGTTTAAGATGCGCCAAATCTACGACGCGGACGTGACATTGAAACTGCTACTAGTGTTAGGAAACCAGTATTAATTTGTTTTACATACGGCTCTGACGTTGTTTATTAAAAAGCGTCTATAATTTCCATTCCTGTTGGAAAACTGTAGAAAATAGAGCAATTTTAATTCACGTCCGCGTCGTAGATTTGGTGAATCTTAAACTCCCTAATAATAAACAAAAGACCCTTGTCTACTAATCCAAGCAGTTAGGGCCATTTTCAATCTTGGCTTACTCTTTTGTAGTGTTACCGAAATACGCTATTTGGCAAGCAAGCAGTACTCTTTTTGCGGCATAACAAAAGCTCATCATTTTTTCTGTGAGACAACGGGGTCTATAGTCTTTTACCACATGCAGGACTTTTACAAATAAAGCTGTCCATTGCCATCGTCCGTGATTTACAGCGCTCATCATCTACATTAATCTACTGTCAATGATCTAGTGTGGTCTTCCGACATCGACACTCCTAGCGATGGCAACCATCATCTGCCATCACCTAGTGCCATCTTCAATTACTATTATACGCTCTATCTTCTGTCACCATCATTGTCATGTAATTCATGTAATGTCATCCACCGTCCTTTTGTAATCCCTTGTATGTAATTACGCGATTATGTCTGTGGTTAATAATTTTCTTTGGCTTTGCTAGGCTTTCGTCTGCCTTGTTGAGAACGTCAATTAGCGCTGACTGTTGTAATTTCTTGTATCTACCCTGTGAATACTTTATGGTATAACAAATACTTTATGGTTTCCGTGTTTGCAGGGCCCTATCTTAATTGCGGGGGGGGGGTGTATACTCATATATTCGTCGTATGCCCGATTGATTTCCTTTGTACGCTATTGTTCCTACGGTATATTAACATGAATATATGAATATACCCCCAATTAAGCTTCTAGCTACGGCCCCGCGAGTTTGGAATATATGGCCTGATCCAAACACACGGGAATGTTGCGAGAGTTAAGAAAGCGATTTTGCGAGCTTTTCTTGAATTCGAGCAAGATTCCCAAGCGTTGTATCAGGCCATCCAAGGGATTCTTTCAATTTTACCCAGAAATCTAACACACATATCCACAGTTTGAAATGTTTAAATGCGTCAAAATATCCTGCCATTTCAGGATATGCTCCTCCAAATGAGTTACTACGTCAAAAAGGTTTGAATAGTTTATATCTTTTAGTTATAGACCCTGAAACATTCCATCCTGAAAGGTAATTTTTTGGGCGAATACCTCGAGTGTAAGGTATATAATTAGTATATTATATACCGAACCCAAATCAAAATCAAACTTTCTGTAAACCAGTCCCCCTGGGCCGAAATTAGATGATGTAATTGGAAGAGGTGTTTTGATTAGTGAACTCAAATAAGACTGGAACCCTCACTCTGTCGAAAGTTTCAAGCCAAGATAGCGGACACTGAAGCCTTTCTTGTCAAAACTTGTAGATGTGATCCAGGCCTCCACGCGGAACTTTCGTAGGTGAAATGGCGCGAATTGTTATTTTACCTTTGAAGTTTCCGTGCCAGAGGCCTGAATCATATTTATACCTACAAGAGAGGCTTCATGGCTCCGCCATCTTCACTCATTAATGAGGGAAAGTCAGAAAGTGACCGTTCCAGTCTTATTTGAGTTCACTGATATTGATATATTCGTTCTTTCCGACCGATTGCTTTTGGACGTGTATGCAATTTAAAAAGAAATCCGCCGCTACAACTGATTAAACTGAATATATGAATAATCACATCCCTCCGTAATTATCGCGTTAGTTTTGTCCCGGAAGCAATCGAAGTATAGCCGGCATAGTGATTTGTGTTACATGAATCTTGATTGATTGACTTCAAAGAATGCGATTGCGAATGTTGCAGGACGTGCTTGTAAGACTACTAGATAAATATATTATTGTAATTATTTTTAATATGTATTGTATTGTACATGTGTTACAATCTACAATGTATTTTTTAGCCACGGTATGTAAAATGCTTAAGAAACTCTTTAGAGAGAAAGTCAACATTCAATATTATATTAAAATTTCTTGTTTTTAAAAAATATATACAATCATTGACTTACACAGTACACACGTATTACATTTTTGTTCTGAAATATTTTTTAATATGCTACTTGAGTTTCTAAATAATTTAATGTTATTTTAGAGTTTCATTAAATAGACAGTATACTGGATACATCGTGTTCTCCATGTGGAAAATTAGAATTCAACTCATCTTAAAATACTTCCTCTGGTATGTTTTCAAATGTCTTGTGAAACCATTTGTTACACCGGTTGCATTCGGCCATGGGCTGGTCTGACATATATGGACGACGACAAGTGGAGAAAAGACATAGCCAAAGCAGATCAATTTTTTCATCTTGTAAATGCATGAGATCAGCTATTTGCATCTTCATTCATTTGCCAACGGTCATCCAATTGGAATCAGAGTTATATTAATTAGACACTGACTTTCAGTTTTGATAATCATGCATATATTGAAATAGTTAAACCCTTTGCGTCATTCTTGAGCTTAGTCTTGATTGCTGTTATTACCAAACACTAATACGTCTTAGTATAATTTCAGTATTGAAAAATGACCTTTGAGCATTCTGATTGGCTCCCTCAGCAGTAACTATGAGGCAATAGTTACTGCTCAGAGCAGTCTGAGCAGTAACTATTGCTTTTCCCCATAAAAACATGGCTGAAAATACTCAAAATCGTTTTGGAAAAATTTCGGAAGCAGAAATTGAGAACATAAATCAGTTGTATTTATAAATAAAACTTTTTCAATACTGAAATTATACTAAAACAATTAGTCGCCTCAGGCTCGGTGATTACAAGCTTATATTCACTTCGCCTTCGGCTCAGTGAATATAGGCTTGTAATCACCTCACCTTCGGCGACTAATTGTTAAATATTTAAATGCATATTTGAAGGGATATTTAAACTGTGTGCTGGACTCGAACCAACACTAAGTCAACCTGACACAGTGTATCAATTTTCCTTCAATACATTTAAAATACGACAAGAACATTCAAAAAATGGAGCAATTCACATAAGAGAAATAGAAAAATAGAACAGAAAAGTTCAAGTCATCTCTTGTAATTGATATCTACAGCGTTCATCACATGAATTAATTCCCAGTTAACAATAATTGCTAGCAGGTTTTGGAGAGGTCTTTATATATTAGTCAAGTGACAAAACTTACATTCTTCACATATTTCAGATGGTCAGAAAGTAGAAACATGGCTTGATGTCCAACTTCTGGCACAATAGATATAGGAACAATGCACCTTTAATATAGGCTATCATGAATCTTCTGCTGCTTTACCTAAATGTTAGTTCGCATTGATTAGTTGGTGAAGAAACTAGGTCTCAGGTTTGATTCCCGCCGTTTTGAAGTTAATTTTTTAGCTTACCCGGTTGGCAATCTCAGACCAGCAACATCCCAATAATCATTTCAAACCTGAGTCATATGCACACAATCAATAAGGTTAAATTCTTAATTTTTGTAAACTGATGTATTTCTCAGCGTTGAGAATTAATCTGTTAGCCGTAGACCATTCTTTGACTTCGGTGACTGCATCTTAAAGAAAACTGTTTGTGCCTTTGTTTACCGGATCAGAATGAATAGCCGAGGAACCTAATTTGTTGCAGGAATCTTTAGAATTACGGAGTAGACGCGGTGGCATAGCGAATGACTGCGACGCCCCAAGACATATTGGAGCAAGGAGATGGGAGCGTTGACTGCTACCGTGTATGGGTTCACTGGAATGCTGATTGCTGAAGCCGGGAATTTTTCCGTTATAGCGGATACATTTGCTTTCAGAAAAGATAAAAAAATGCCATACACATTTGTAACATTTACATTCTTTCAGTCGCATATACCGCGTCCTGACTTTCTTTAGTGCATGTGGCTGCATGAAGGGCCCCCTTACTGTTGGGGGCCTTTAGTTCTTCAACTAACCCTACCTAACGTGCACTACGCCACTAAGTAGACAGTTTGGAATAGTAATTATATAATCACTATAGTGAAACACGCAATGTGATTGGTCAATAGCCGTGCAGGATCAGACAATCCTGCACGCGTTTTAGACAATCCTGCACGCGAAATTTAATTTTAATAAAGTTAACCGTTGTTTCACTACAGTTATTTTATAAAACAATTACCAAATGATTTTCCGTGCAGAATTGCGTGATCCATGCACTTGGGATGTTGCTCGACTTTCGGAAAGCGTGAAAATACACTCGCCTACGGCTCGTGTATTTTCACGCTTTCCGAAAGTCTCGCAACATCCCGCGTGCATGGATCACGCAATCCTGCACGGAAAATCATTTGGTATTCCTTTAGTGAATAGTCTTTATAATGGCTTCTTGTTTACCCGCTTCCAGAACGTCTCTACTGGATTTTTTCTTTTGCAAGTGATGTTTTTTGTACTAACGTAATTTACTTTCTTTGCATTAAATCTTACACATATTTTCGCGCAAAGCGAAATTTCACTTCTGTTGCACAGGAATAAATTCGAAAAATATGCCGGGCTAATGGAAAAGAGGCTTTACATAAAGATTTATCGTCTCCACAAAACGAACAAGCCAATCAATTTCCGGGTAACATCAGTCATTTCGCGTTTGACGTATTTATGAGAATCATCAATTCTTAGCTTCAATAAATTGTTAGCTTCAACCTCACAACCCCTCGATTTATATACAAACTGAAATATAGATATGACGCACTTTTCGTCTTTTGATTAGAATCATGGTTATTAATATATGCCATATAGTACAGGCTTTGCGTTGTCCCTGAGTTTAGTTACAGGTAATATGTTTCATTGGGACTTTATGAAAAAACTAACCAATCTTGAAGCAGCCTATACACAAGAAGCAAAACCAACATTTTTGGAAACTCATAAACACACATTGGACTGTTCACTCCCTTTTTCATTCGTGTTATATATCAAAAAAGTCTTTGGCTGATGTGGTTTTGACAGAGTTTGGTAAGTGGCGGAGTGAAGGATTGTTTAACAGCGTATCTCCGGTGGAGATGGAAAAGGATCGGGCCCTATACCTGTAGATTGTTACGACTCAAACTATATTTAGTTGACTTGTGTAATAAAGTTTTTAAGCTTGATAGCGAGGGAAATGAGTATCTTCAAAGACATGTGTATTATTGTATCTATTAAAGAGGTCAGCCGTAACTTTTTAAATTGAATAACTACCCTTATTTTTTTCTATCCGTCCAAAATCATATTTCGCTTTTCTGCGATCTGATTGTCTACGAGAGCGGTCTGTGCCGTAGTTGAAAAGTCTATTAAGTACATCAATCATCATATTTAAATGTATATTAATATTAATTTTGAAGGATATTTAAACTGTGTGCTGGACTCGAACCAACACTAAGTCAACCTGACACAGTGTAATAATTTTCCTTCAATACATTTAAAATACGAGAGCTACATTCAAAAAATGGAGCAATTCGCATAGGAGAAATAGAAAAATAAAACAGAAAAGTTCAAGTTATCTCTCGTAATTGATATGTACAGCGCGTTCATCACATGAATTAATTGCCAGTTAACAATAATTGCTAGCAGGTTTTGGAGAGGTCTTTATATATTAGTCAAGTGACAAAACTTACATACTTCACATATTTCAGATGGTCAGAAAGTAGAAACATGGCTTGATGTCCAACTTCTTGCACAATAGATATAGGAACAATGCACCTTTAGTATAGGCTATCATGAATCTTCTGCTGCTTCACCTAAATGTTAGTTGGCATTGATTAGTTGGTGAAGAAACATGCATGCTGTGGTACTCACTGTTGCATGCAGTACTGACATTCAAAAGCTTTACAAAGCTGCTGCAATTAGTTAAATTAGCAGCTGCTTGTAAGAGCTACCTTCTGCATGTTTGTTATAA